ATTAGCCAATTTATTTCAAATTATTGCTGCCAAATTTAAAATTATCATTGACAACACAAGCAAGGCAGACTGTGGTGCTGATACTCGTGGCCAAACATAAGCAAGCCTTAGTTTCTCAAGTTCAATATTTACATGTGCAGAGTGGTACGTGTTTCTTTGAAAAAAAAAAACACTTTCCATATCCTTGCATAGGATAAAGACAAAAGTATGTACACAGCAAAGGGAGTGCTGTGATAGCAAAACAACAACAAAAAAAAGCAGCTATTTTTAAATCTTAACAGGTATCTGCACCATCACCAACTGTGGTCTATAAGGAGAATAAATATAGTTATTCATCACAGACTTATTAGGAGATTGATATGTAGGCATTCACTGTGAGACGATAAGTAGATCTAACAGTCGCCACTGCACTAATAAAGGGTCATAGAAGTAATGTGATGTCCCTAGTTCTCCCCCAGCTGCTACCGCTCCAATATCAGGTATCATAACGCACTGTCTCGAGCCATTGTGCTGATGACACAAAAACTGAAGCAGATGACTACTGATGCTTGGCAGGAAGCTGCACCTGCAAATATCAACTTAGATCCATTAGGGTTAATCGCATTTTTGTCAAACACTATGATGTCAGTATCTGAAGTAAAAAGTGTTCCCTTGTGCCATACAGCTTCTTAGTGTTCTGAGAATATGCACGCACAGGTTTCTTTTCATGCTGTCCTGATCTTCATGCAAAAATCATATGAAAGTGCATAAAATGTTTATGGTTTGCAAATATACTATCTGCACCTTACACTTTGGGACACCATGAAAATGTAAAAGAAAATATAGCCAGGTGAGCCAGTCTCCACATACACTACAGAATGTGACAGACTGTCTAGTAGATGGAAAACCAGTTCCTAAAAGATAGATTTTCAAATTCTTTTAGTGGCTTCTGTTTTTTAACATCTCTGCACACTTACAGTGTTGTAAAAGGAAAATACAAGTCTGTTTCATATTGTAAGTAATACACTTAAAAGCGAGAAACGTTGAATTCTTATCAGAACAACTTTTGACTCAATGTTTGTTAACCCGGGTACCTTGGTGAATAACCATTTCTGTGCTCTTCCCTACCACAGGCATCTTGTATGCACACATTAGAAGTGATGGGCCAGTGAGTATCTCCCAGCACAGAGTCCTGCATAATGCAATCCTGATCTTGACCAGGGCCGTTATTAGCTGCTGTAAAGTGCTGCTACTGCTATTAAAATATACTGGAGGAAATATACTGGAGGAAATAATGAGGATAAGTGAATGAATGACCAAATAGCATTTTGATGGTTACATATCTCATGGTTCCAGATACTGAAAAAGAAAATCCCTCTGCTGCACGTTAGATGAAGTAACAGATTTTAAGCAGAAAATAGTGCAATATATTGCATGTAACAAACCATAAAGCCACACTCAGTAACTCAGACATCACATGCAAGGAATGAAACAAGAAAAGAATGGGTGCTCTGAAAATGATACCAAAATAGTACAGAATTTTAAATTCTAGCCTTGGTCCAGCCACTTACTTGAGAAAGCAGTGTAACCAGTTTGCCTGAGTTTCACTATTTAAAAAGTCGGAGTGCTTTCTTATTCCATAAGGATAGTGTCAGGTTTAATTAATTATGTCTGTAAAATCTTTTCTAAATGAAAAGTGGTAGGCATGATTTATTAATTAACTCTGAAACACCACTGCACAATCAGAGACTGATCACTGTTTTATCAAGAGGATAACATTTTAATAAAATATATCTCAAACTGGAAATTACAGTAACAGCCTTTTTGACTTATTTAGATTTCTTTTGTGGAGAGCAAAGCAATAGAATTTTGATGAGTTCTAGGAGTAGAAAGGTAATCAAGAACAAGAGAAACAGGAACACTCAACCAGCCCTTCTACTGCCATGAATGTGGTACCAGCTAAATGGCATTGCATAAATCATGAGAATAGGGACTGTACACCTAGTGCTGCTGCCAGACCCAGCTGAAAGAAAACTACTCTTCTACCTATTAGATGTCACTTGTAGCCCAATGACCTGCAGGGATCCATGCGAGTCACCTACAGATAGCCATCCAGAACTGCAGTGTGCCATTAATAGCTTCAAATTACCTGCAAGTGACAATGTGTGATCTATAAAGGTCTTGATTTATGTCATGATGACTCCACTATTGTCAGCTCTCAACTTCCCAGGTGCATTGCAGCGGTAGCATGCATCTGCAGGCAGGATCCATGCGTCAGAGTTATGAATGACTGTTTGCTGCAATGGAGACAGCCTTTCTCTCAGCCTCCAGTGGCTCCTCTTTTTTGGTGCTCTTTTCCCTGCGAGGAGCTGCCATCACAGGGACATTGTCATTCAGTCAATGCTGAATTCATCAGCATGGATGTAAGAGTAGTACAAAATATTTAGACAAGACATAGATCAAATGACCTGTGAATTACACTGATTCAAGCGTATCTTCTGGACAGATCCGTGGCCCAACTCTTTCCTGGACAACTCCATCTATTCTTTGGCCTGTACTGGCAAGCTCCACACCCTCAGTGCCAACAGCCCAAGTTTCACAGTAGGAAATGAATCATGCCCTCAGAATGCAAACTGAAATCCTACAAACCTAAGAAGATAGCTATTCATCTGTCATATATCAGTGTAACTCATGTATTGCCTGTTATGTTTTAATCTGATATTATATATGAATAAAAATGCCCAAATTGGTCTAGTGGCCAATGATCCTGCCCATGGCAAGAGGGTTGAAACTAGATGATCTTTGAGGTCCTTTTCAACCCAGGCCATTCTATTATCCTCTGATTCTATGAAATCTACCAGAATTCATCATTAGATGGCATTCCAAAGATTAAGTACATGATTATAAAAGAAACTAGAAGCATCAGGTGATTTGAAATACAATGTAGGTTGAATTGGAGCCCAATCCAGAACAAAATAACCACAACTCTTCCTGGCTACACAGACATCAGGTTTGTACTGCTGCACACATGGCATATAATTCAGCAATACCACTTGCTCTAGGAAGTAAGACATAAGGGACTGTCCCGCCTGGGTGAAAATACTTTGTGAAAACACTGCAACTAAAATAAGAACAGTGTAACAACAGTGGGCCAAGTTTGACTTGTTAGTTGGTCAAAAAAAGCATATTACCTTAATTAATTACTCATTTGTTTATGTGAAGTCCACGCTTGCTGGTCACATCATCTCTCTGCTTCTGAGTTTCTCAGTTTTCTCTTTTTTGTCACACATAGTCTTTAGGCTGCCTGGTAGGAGAGCTACATTTCTGCACAGCCCATGCTCGTGCTGACCCAGCTGAGCAGCACCTTGCTCCCCTGAGCAAAAACACAGTGGGACAGCCATGGCACCGAGCCTTCCAAAACAGCCAAGCAGCCCAGACATGAGTTTTATTTTGTTGAGGTGCAGTCGGTACTGAAGGTATTCTGCTACCCTCAGGCTCCGATACATGCACCCTTCTCACTTCCAAACCATCAGGGTGGCTGAGAGCCACCGAGCCAGGGCTGGAGCAGGCAGATTACACTGCTGCCCAGTGCCAGATAAGCTGCCAGCCCAGCACCTTCCCAGGCATCTGAGGAGGCCCCATGGAGCTGGGTCCCCCTGCCCACCCCTCCAGGACGGGACTGGACAGGCATGCTGAATCTGCAGCTTCCCTCAGTGTTCCACCTGCTGCATGCACAGCCAGCGCTGAGCCCCTGCCATAGCCATCATCTCTCAGCTACAAAGCTCAGGTTGCAGATATTTCTGATTTTCCACATTTGGGTTCAGGCTTTACATTCCTGCGTGATTCATGGTTGCATTGATATGTGAAACTAAGAGGATGTCTCTTACATTGAAAACGTTTTACCTGTGATCCAGCCCTGGTGGCTTTGATCTCAGGCCAGATCTGTGTCACTTGTACCTAGAGAAAAGCCTCAGCTCCCAGCTCCACACTAGAGAAGCAGGAGCACTGCACTCTGCTAGAACACGTCACAGCCTGCCTTCTAACACAGCTCATGGCTTCTGCTTGGGAGAGAATGGGACCAATGACACACTAATAGTGACACAGGGGTAGGAGGCCACCTAGCCCAACAATGTTTTCAATGATGTTTGCAACAAGAGGCAGGAGGCAGCACCCTGCCTTCAAAGTGTGCTCTCACTAGGTAGCTATGCTGAGGATGTGAAGGAAACCAAAACCACTTGCCTGGGTCTCCATCATGCCATTGCACAGATCTCTTTGGGAGGCAGAAGTACACACTTCCTTCTAATTGCTCCTCAGGCCTCTTGCTTACGGGCAGCTGCAGCGCATCACAGAGAGCTCACCTTCCACTCTAAGCACTCCATGTAACTATGCCATATAGCATATCACTGTGCTGGGGGATCAGACCCAAGTATCACAGTTTGGGGAATGACCTTCAGGATTGCTTCCTGTGCAGGAATGCTGGGCATGTCCTCTGCATGGTGAGCTCCAGGTGAGCCACGCTCAGAGCCACTCCACAAAAAATGCCATGTTCTTGTGGGGCCTCCAGCAAGAGAAAGATGTGGAGTTTTCAGAGTGGGTCCAGAGAAGGCTACAAAGATGCTCAGAGCATCTCCTCTGTGAAGAAATATTGAGGGAGCAGAGTTTTTTCAGCTTGTAGAAGGCTCTGGAGAGACCTCATTGCAACCTTCCAGAAGGGAGCTGGTAGACAGGAGGAAAATCAACTTTTCACACAGTCAGATAGCGATAGGAAAACGTGGAACAGTTTTAAACTAAAAGAGAGATTTAGGTGAGATATCAGGGGGAAAACTTCACTGAGATGGCAGCGAGGCCCTGGCGCAGCTGCCCAGAGAAGCTGGGTGCCCCATCACTGGGAGCACTCCAGGGCAGGCTGGATGCAGCCTGAGCTTGTGGGGGCAGCCCTGCCCATGGCTGGGGGGGGGGTGGGTGGGCTTTGAAGTCCTTTCCAACCCAACCCTGTGACTGCTACACAGAGCTGTCTCATTGCTATGCCATGGCCACGGACTCGTGTAAGCCAGCATTTGGGACAGCCTCAAAAGCGATAAACTGAGCCTCTGAAGGGACTGAGACATCAGATCGACCTGAAGGTCAAGGTGTAACACTACAGATTGCCTTAGGCGATGCTTGAGCCTCTAGCAGTTTAAATACGGAATCCAAGCCGCTAGGAAGCCTTTTATGGCTCCTATTAGATACAAGCAGTGAATTGTCACTAGTCCAAAGGCTGGAACAGCACAACAAACAGCACAACCGCCGCCGAGCTCAGGCACCGCCCGCCCCTTATCGCCCCGCTCCAGACGACGCTCGCCGCCCCCGCGCGTCACCTGACCGCGCGCCGCTGACGTCACGGGCGCGCGGGGCGGCGGTTGGCGGTGGCGAGCCAAGATGGCGCTGCTGGTGCGGGAGCCGCTGTGCTCGCGGGCGCGGCTGCGGGCGCTGCCCTCCGGCGGCGGCTCGGTGCGCGGCCTGCTGCGGGACTGCGCTCGGGAGCTGGTGAGTGGCGGCGGGACGGGGTTCCGGCACCGCGGGCGGCGCTCCGCGTCTCGTAAGGCCGGCCTCCCTCGCTGCGCTGTTCCCTTGCGGTGGGCCTCGGCTGGGTGTTCCGCTTCTCGGTCGGTCGGGTGACGAATTGTTGTTTGGTTGTTGTGTTTTTTTTTAGAACGTTCCCGAAGAAAGTTTGTACGTGAAGTGTAACGGGCGGCTGGCGGCTGGAGAAGACGCGCTGCGGGATGGCGCCGTGTACAGCCTGGAGCTGCGGCTGCGCGGGGGGAAAGGAGGTCTGTGAGCTCTGTTACCGCATACAGGGCGTGCGGGCTTCTAAGAACTGAGCGTTCTGGTCTCGGGCCTGGTGCAGCTCCGCTGCCTTCATGAACGAGCTCGTTGCTGTTGATTTTGGGGAAAGTGTCCTGCCTAGGTGTAGCAGCTAGGGCCTTCGGAATGTGAGATGTTGTAGTGTGTCGTGAATGAGCTTTGTAAATTCTTGTTGGCTTTATTAGCTGAACGCAGCAGTGCTCTGTGGTACAGCAGGCTGTTTAGAGTGTTTAGTATTTACAGTGCTTCTTAAGGATTACTGAAGGGCATCAATGTATAGATATGTTCCAACTTCTGCTTGAAAAACAGTGCTTGCTTTTTTCAGACTGCTTAAAATTATATTTATGTTAGTCCACATGATGTCTCTTTGAGGCAGCTGAGGGATTTTGTCAAACTTCAGACAACGTAGGGTGGGACTGAGTGAGAGAAGTTAGCAGTTAGCAGAAGTTGCCTATGACTAGTGGCTGAGGAGTGTATGGGATCACTAAGGTGGGAAAAGGCCACTGAAATTGTCACATCCAGCCATCAAAATCTATTTGGAGATGCTCTACAGCATAATTGTGGTCAGCTTGATGACATGGCTGTCACTATCTCTTAAAAAATAGGTGTTTTTTTTTTTTAATATTTTTTTAAAGGAGGTTTAAGTTTGATGGGAGCTAAAGGGAAATAGGGGAGAAGTATATTCTGGATAAATTGGGAAGGACTAAGAATGTTAAATTGAAGATGGAGAAGATTGCAAACCATTCTGCTGGGGGAATCCAGGGATAGGCTCTTGTGTTAGGAGTGCTGCTGTCCTGGTAACTTTGGTGTGCAATATTAGGAGAGCAGAAATGACATGGGTGGTAAATGTTGGATGCTTTTTTTTTTTATTATTTATTGTTAAAGTGTTGTTCCTAGTGACGTTCTAACTAACACTGTAACTTTCAAGTTAGCCTGTATCTCAGTAACCTTGAAGGAAAGTGAGGCATTGAATCACTATTATTTTTCCATAGGCAATTCTATAATGTACTAACTCATCTGAGTTTGTTTCCGTGTATCTCATTCTTGATTACTCTTTTTTGCAGGATTTGGATCTATGCTCCGAGCACTGGGTGCTCAGATTGAGAAAACAACCAATAGAGAGGCTTGCCGGGACCTCAGCGGAAGGAGGCTGCGAGATGTCAATCATGAGAAAGCGTGAGCATTTAGGCATTTTCTTAGAAGCTAGCACTATAAAATAAACCCATCAGAAGATGGGTGGCCAGCAGGGTCAGGGAAGTGATTGTCCCCCTCTACTCTGCTCTTGTGAGGCCCCATCTGCAGTATTGTGTCCAGGTCTGGAGCCCCCAGTACAAGAAAGACAGGGAGCTGTTGGAGAGGGTCCAGAGGAGGGCCACGAAGATGATCAGGGGACTGGAGCACCTCCCCTATGAAGACAGGCTGAGGGAGCCGGGCTTGTTCAGCCTGGAGAAAAGAAGGCTGCGGGGTGACCTCATTGCAGCCTTCCAGTACCTAAAGGGAACTTACAAACAGGAGGGGAATCAACTCTTTGAAAAGGTTGATAACTGCAGGACAAGGGGAAATGGTTTGAAGTCGAGGGAGGAGAGATATAGGTTGGATGTCAGGGGGAAGTTCTTTACAGAGAGAGTGGTGAGGTGCTGGAACAGGCTGCCCAGAGAGGTTGTGGATGCCCTGTCCCTGGGGGTGTTCAGGAGCAGGTTGGGTGGGGCTCTGAGCGACTTGGTTTAGTATTAAATAGGGAGATTGGTGGCCCTGCATGTGGCAGGGGGGTTGGAGATTCATGATCCTTGAGGTCCCTTCCAACCCTGGCCATTCTGTGAAATCAATGGCAGAGTTTGCTATTGACAAAAGAGGTCATGTGACAGTCACAGCAATTTTTATTTTGAATACTAAAAGGTCCGAAAGACTTTCTGTATCATCCTTTCATATTTCCCATGGGTGGTTTTGTTCTTCTTTTGTCCTTGTCTCCTATCCTAGCAAGTGGTAAAAGCATCAGTAATTGCAAAGTAATAATATTACGTTAAGTTGGAGATGCTCTCATTTTCATGGATCTGTAATCTGCAGGATGGCTGAATGGGTGAAGCAGCAAGCGGAACGGGAAGCAGAAAAAGAGCAAAGGCGCTTGGAAAGGCTGCAACGGAAACTTGCAGAGCCAAAGCACTTGTTTACAAACACAGACTACCAGCAGCAGTGTCACGAAATGGCTGAACGGCTAGAAGATTCAGTCCTTAAAGGTACCGCAGTTTAGCCTCACTTTCTCTCCTCAAAACATAAAGCAAACTAAAAGCTCAGTTCAGCATGGAATTTAAAGAAAAAAATATGGCTGACAATAACTCTTTCAATTGAATTACATTTGAAATTCTAGTGAAATTTGTTGAATTCATTTTTCTTCATCTACTGCTTTTCTTAAATTGCGTTTAACAGCATGACAAAGGTACAAGTGATGCTTCGTCTGTGAAATATCTTGTTTCATTTGCTATGCTTTGTAGCTATTTATCCACTAGTTGGTCCCTTACTGGCAGCTCATAATGAAACTTGAGGCTGATTGGAATGTAGAAACTAAGAGTTCATGTCAGGAATCCAGTTGTAAGATTGACTCTGTGTCTTAATAAAGCAGTGTAAGAAAGCTTTTGCTGCTTCTGAGATTGCTGAATCTTCAAGTTTCCATAAATATATACCAGTAGTGATTATTTTCATTTAGTGTTTTAGGCTACATCTGAAATTAAAAGAAATAGAATTTAGGGCAGATGTGAGTTGTATATCAGTGAGGTAGACTTCAACTTTTCTTTTTAGGATTGCAGGCCTCGTCTAGCAAAGTAGTGTCACCAGAAAGTGGCAATGGTCGGAAGCGTCATGGTGAATCCGGAAAAAAAGGAACAAAATATGGAAAAAAGAGATGTTTTTGGTAAGTATTAGGACTCCATAAAGGTTTGAACACAGTGAAAGTTAGGTAAGTGCAAGTAAACAACATCTCATCTTATAGCAGTGAGGTGATTAAATTGAGGTGATTAAATTGGAGGACAACATATCTAAATATTTGTCATGTACTGCTTATGCCAGGCTGGGGTTGGAAGGATTGGATGATACCGACAGTTCAGATTCTGGTGATGGCAGTGAAGATGATTCCCCTCAGACATCTGATGGAAGCTGTCCATTGGGAAGCAGGCATAATGAAAGTGCTGGAAATACCAGTGAATGTTCAAGCAGCTCTGTGGATTCAGTAGAGCACAGTCCAGCTGCCAGTACTGCTGAGGAGAAGGCATCGCAGCAACCAGAGCTTACTGGAATAGATGTGCAGGAGGAGACCCACACAGGTGGCCAACCTGAAGTTCCAGCTGATGAAAGCAGTGAAATGACAAAGGCACCTCTGAAGGAAGAGGCCCAAGAAAAGAGTGAAATAACTCAGACTCTGAAGGAAGAAGAACAAGAAAATGTTTCTTCTAAGGCCCAGGAAACAAATCGGTTACCAAGCACAGTAAGTATGAAGTGGTACAAAATATAGTATTCAGTTGCTTGTACTTGGATCACTTCTTATTTTCTGTGATCCATAAAATAAAGAGGTAGAAAGGGTATGTATCATCTGAATTTAATGCAGTAGCTTTAAGTGCTTGCATTACAATCAGTTTTCCTAGGAATTTAATAGAATCTTGAGAGTTTGATTCAGACCAGACCTCCCAAAGGAAAAACAGCTCATGTGAAGATGGTGCATTAGAACTGTACTACCTTAGGTTAAGGGAGTGTGGAAGTTAATGGCAGCTGCAGCCAAAAGAGACTCTTGGTTGAGAGTCTCTTTGCTGATCCCTATTAACTCCACATGTTGAAAGCTGAATTGTAGTAAAGTAGCAGTCTTGACAGATCCTAAGTAGAGCAGGTCAGGGCAAAACTTTTTAAGATGTAAGACTTTTAATAGTCTGTAGTTTCTGTTAAGATGCAGTTGCTCTTGATCATGTAATGTTGTTTTTCCCAACATCTGTGTTTCCCTTTTTTTATTTTTTTTTCCTCCTTCCACATAAATAGATACACTCAGTATCACTTGTGGTTGGTGACTGAAGGAAAATAAAACCTTTCTGTAGAATGAAAGACTCCTAGCAATGCTCTTTGAGACACTACCAAACACTTGCCAACTTGACTAATCTTATTTATGATGTACTTTGACCATAATCTTGACCACAGTTTTTAAATTAGAAGTTGTTACTTGTAGATGTACCGTAAACCAGTCAGCTAATTAATATTTCTTAGTGTGTTATTCATAAAAGACTTGAGTTTAATTCCCAAACTGACACAAACTTCAGCTTTTATTTGACCATTAAAAGTCACAAAGCAGTGGCTCCTCACTAGAGAATTAGGATTAATGTGTTAGGCTTCACCTGAACTTGCAAAAGATGGTGGAAGAATGATTTTTAAAAAGATCGTCGAGTCTATCAGGGATAGAAGCACTTCTGTACCATTAACCCTGTTGGCAGTTGGGGTTGGTGTCCCCTCAGGAGCAGTGCTGACCATGAGATTCTTTCTCTGGCAATAGTTTATTCTAGATATCAAACTAAAAAATGTATTTTTTTTCAGCCTTGAAGAGATTGCTTGAGTTTTCTTCCTTTGTTCAACATGAGCAGAAAGTCTCCTATCAGCTGCCATTGATAATGGCTGAATTCTTTATAAGTGAAAATTTAGTACAGTTAAATGGAAAAAAGACCAGGCTGCAATCTGATAAGTGAGAACTTTATCATCTATTGTACCATTAAGACAGGGAAGCTTTGAACTGGATGTTTACCATTCTCCACTGTTTACCTTTAGCTTAGTATTTGAGATGGTCTATTCTTAGAACAGGAAACTCCACCAGTGCTGTGGCAGATTGTTATTGCAGGTGGAAATTTTTTTTATAATAGTCCTTGATGGATTTTTTTTCTTATTATTCTAGTTCTACTTTAAAAATAATGTGACAGCCAGGCTTTTTTTTTTTTTGTATGGCCAGCAGCACAGGTTCTAATTCTGCTATGACTAGTGGCTTTTGTTGAGCTTGTAAGGGAGTGGTCTTACTCCCACCACTTATGCTACTTGCTTTGAAGTCCTTTTGATACTTCCAGCATTATACTTACCCTAGGACTAATAGGTGCTCTATATACTGAACAAGGTGGGATTTTGTGTCCTGTTTTGGGTGTTAGTAAATTCCAGCTTTTGAGATGTTCTTTCCTTGTCTGTATTCTTCTGTGGGCAAAGCTCTGATCAGCTGCAGCTGGTGGTCCCTTGTTACTGCTGTTATGGGCGTATTGGTTGTATTCTGCATGTCGTTAAAAAGGGTCTGCCAGCTTTGCCACAATGCTGGAAGCCAAGTTTAAGCTGCTGAACCACTAGGTGAGATGGTGGGCTGTTGTTTTTAGTACATTTTTCTTGAGAGTACTTAGCTTCCCTGGGGATAAAAACAGTGCTATCTGTTTTGTCTCCAGAATAAGTTATGTACTGTTACTATTTTTCATTATTATTCTATTTTGAATGTGTTAGTTCCACTGAAGTTACTTTAAAAATTCAGCCATGTTCATGGCATTTAAAATGAATAGCACTTCCATCCTGGGGGCTGCGTACATCCCAAGCTTAACCCCATCTGCAGCTTGTCTGGACATGCAGGATTGAGCCTCTGACTAGCTTAGAGACACTGCCAGTAGTGAAACTGTAGGAGCACAACTGCACACTGGATAGGAAGCTCAGCTGGACATTCACTGTGCTCTAGGGTGTGTTAGCACTGCTATGATTTGTGTTGTTATGGCCATGCTGCTAGCTAGCCTCAGTTTGCTTGCACGTGATGCAGTATTGCTTGTCCTGAATAGCAGAGACATCAGTAATAATGGGAATATGCAACAGAAGTATATGTGGGGATATTGCTCAACTTTATCTCAAAGTTTGAACTAATTTACTGGGTAAACCTAATTCAAGGGCTTTTGTGAAATCAAGCGTTTTGTCTGTACTTGTTCTCTTCCCTCCCCCTTCAGGAAGAAAGCAATGATTGTCATGGGATGTTTTTCTCTTTGCAGGATGTGGAACCAATCGACCTACTTGCTTTCAGCTCTGCTGCTGAAATGGAAGCGCTGGGGTTAGATAAGCTGAAGATGCAATTGATGGCCTTAGGACTGAAATGTGGAGGCACTTTACAGGAGAGAGCAGCAAGGCTTTTTTCAGTGAGAGGTCTGTCCAGAGAGCAGATTGATCCTTCCTTATTTGCAAAGCCTTGTAAGGGGAAAAAAGGGAAATCTTAAATTACTTTGTGTCTGTGTACTTTTAATTTTTCCTTATTCTTCTGTCATTCTGTACTGTTATAGAAAATTCTTTGGCATCTGTGAATAATTTTTTGTTTCTATTTTAATGAAGTTTAGTTGACATAGCACAGAGGAAACTGTTAAAAAGCAAGTTAGTTATGTGGTCAATATTAAAGGAGTGAAATACTGTCTTTTGATAAGCTTTACCAGCAGTTATAACAAATCTTGGTGTAACAGAACAAATCCCTGCAGATGGGAAGGAAGAACCTGTGTGTTTTTTAGAGAATGAATGTATGGCACCATCTTCACCTGTTTGAAGAAGAATATCAATCCTTTATTAGCTTTGAATTGGATCTCCCTTAGTATATATTCCAATTAGCACAGTTAAAAGGCAAACATCAAACTTGTGATTTGGGCTTAAAAGCTGAAGTTTCTTTGTGTGAAAAGAACGTTTTCATATGGATGGGGTCAGTCTTAATAAATGCTGTTGTGTGAATTAGTGAGATGTCAGGCATCAGTAATTAAATGGTAAAAATATTTCTTTTATAAGAAGTTATATAAATGAATTTATTTTGCTCTTTACAAACAAATGAGTGAGGGGGAAGAAGAAAGAATTACATCCTTAAGGAATTAAACAGAATGAAGTGCATTTGCTCCTTGCTGAAGGTTAGTACATTACAGAGTGTTCATCTGAACCTGAGTGGGAAATTTAGTATAGGTTTCAACTTTTTTCCAGTGGCGAAAGCAATGGAGTAGGCACCTGAGGACTTGAGTATCTGCAGTGGTGGTGCTTTATCCAGCTCAGTCTGTAGCCTCAGAGATGCGAGTTATCCCATGAGGTGGTAAAGGCTCCTGTTGTAACAGTAGCATGCTTTTATGACTGCAGGTACAGCTGCCATTCTGTTTGAGAGGCTTTGGTTTGGTGCCTCAGACTTGACCACCATATGCTGAGAGTATTATGCATGATCTAT